TACGCAGCAGACATCAGTTCCAAAAGAGTCTATTGTACGCGCCAGACACGCCAGTTGATCTACCTATATTAGCATCTTCACACTGAGAAGTTGACGAGGCTTCAGAATCTGAAATAAATTTTGCGGTGAAGTGCTTACAGCGCTACTAGGCAACGAACTGTGGCGAGTGACGAACAAGTTATCCGGGGAAATGTCATTGATCGGAAGGTGTATAGGAAAAGTGTTGAGTACGGAAGAGAAAGAGTTAACCAAAAGTTGGAATTTCTGAGCAGTAGCCCATTTGTCACCGCCCACCCCACTCGATACAATGGGTAGTACGATGCTTATTATCCTACGCGACGACCGATACAGTATGGAGTTATTCATAGCTTGTGTATGCATTTGCAGGATATCCCAAATTTTAAAACCTTTGCCACTGGTTCGCTAACGGATGGAATTATTCGATAAAATAAGAAATAACTGGACACGCGTTTTTAACCTTATCCCACTTTTCATCGATTTTGTGAGCTTTTTACATAATAATAATAATAATAATAATAATAATAATAATAATAATAATAATAATAATAAACAGTGACAGTCACAGAGAGACACTATTGAATCAAAAAAGCCATCTGCCAAGTGAAACATGGAAATGTACACAGTTTCAAGTAGTCACCAGTAGATATCATTCTAGATGTACAGTGATATATAGTGAAACGAACATCCTCGATTGCCGTATAGCACCATCGTCAAAACGAAAGCAGCCGCATAACGGCACAGTGAATGCAACTTTCCTACGTTAAAACCAAGTCATGTTGAAATCAAAAAGGTTCGAGTACAACGATCACAGTTAATGCCTAAGCTGACAACCATGTTGCTGAATAGGTGCTTAAGAATGGGCCGAGAAGTGGAATACAGTATCAGGCTGTCGCGTTAAAGAGTGAATGATATAAATATTATTCGTGATATTTGTGCTAAACAGGGCGCAAAACGGAACAGAAACAAAGAATAAACTCACATCGGAGTGGTTTCAGACCAATTCATCTCATCGTCATCGTCCGAAGCGGACCCTTCGGCTAGCAGTCTGTTAACTAGTGGAGCATCACCTTTCAAAATAGTCACGTCTACTCGTTTCGGCTGTCCTGATCCAGCAGCGCTAGATGAAGAACAAGAAGATCGTGCATCAGACAAACGACAGGACTCTCTTCTACATGTCGAAGACGAAGATCGCTGGGCAGCTTCGCTCTCAGCTACAGTCAGTTCCTCATCTAGTCTGGCAAGCAGAGCCGGTTTCTCATCGGCCAATAAACGCCGTAGTTGGCCATCGGATCCGGAGGCCACGTGGACGCGAGCAGCAAAACGGATGGCAGAGCTCCGAACAGACGGATTGTTTGAGGCAAACGCAGATTTCAGAACTACTGCCAATTCCTGGAGATCGAAGCTGAAACAAATGAACGAAGTAGGATACCAAAACACTGGGTCAATTGGAATCATCTAGCATTTCACGACAGTATGCTAAATCACTGATAGGATTATAAGACGTCAACCATGGGTACAAACTACGGTTCCCATTAGCAAACATCGTTTCATTTTCCCAAAACTCCAGACGAATGATGGATGAAGAGAGAGTTTAGCGTAGAAAATATCAATTTAACTTTAACTACGTGCTTACCTCAAGGCAAGATTCAATGTATTCTCGGTCAGCCACTCAATGATGCCAACCAGAAGTGGCGGTTTAACCGAACCTTGGAAAGCACTGAGCAGATGTCCAGTCACCGGCAAACAAGATGCCAAACGAGTTAGAATCTGCTTAGCAGATGGAGTCGATTTCACTTCTCCCAGTGAGGGGATCACGTGCTGACACAGTAGACCCACCAAATGGTCATCCAGAGTGGAGGAAATCGTCTTTTTGTTGCTCGGGATAAGGGCCAGAATGATATCTAAAGCAGTGTTGCGAACCTATAATTCGGGAATAAAATGAAAAATCAGAGGGGATTAACAGGCACACAGCTTGCAGCGTGATGAACGTGCACTCGAGCGAAAGGCAGAACAGATATGAGATTTAGTACAAAGTAATTTGACTACTGAAAATCTGAAAGTAGTATATCATAGTATGCACTAGAAATTCACTGAAAAAGACAAGTGAGCACGCGACCGGTGTGGAACACATGACTGACAAAGTTTACATTGAGTGTCTGCAGCGGGGACTTTTAGAGTAAACAACACCACGTCAACATTGAGTTAACTTTCTATGATGAGGAAGATCAATTGAAATTGATCACCGTTTGGGCCAGGTGGCTGTTGTGGCGAGCAGAGTAGTCGCACCGTAGAGTTCGGCTTTACTTTGTCACCTTGTGCATTCACAACTCCTGTGATCGCACATGCGGCGGGGGATGACGTCCGCCATTACCGTGTGGAATCGCTCATTTCCGGTGCTCGGCTATACCCGCGCACGTTGAGCTTTCTCCAAATGAACTTTATAAATGCCATTCTTGTTATGCGATTTTGGTGTTCGGCACTGCGCAATAACACAGCACAAAAAATGAAAATTCGGAATTCGTTCTAACGCACTTGATTACATTCTGTTTCAAGAGGAAAGATTTTTGTAGAATAGATTTAGAGCGTTCTATTCCTGTAAATGAACAAGACGAAGATAGTCGATTTGGACCCCAACATCGACGTCTGTCAGCATTCAAGAAAACACAAATCCATGCCTCAAGTGTTGAGCAGGACTTTTCTGTCAGCTGTTTTCCGAAAGGCACATTGGAGAATCATTTCGCGAAATGATAAAGGAATCTATCCGAAAGTGGAAAAGTTCGACGGTATTTACAAAACACCGCAAACATGAGATACTGTTATTTTCAAGAACTTAGACCTTCGGGTCTATCAAAAGCCTTCATAAAGTGGTTAAGCATCATTCAAGAACGTTAAAACTTGAATTTGACGATTGGGGATCCTTGTGGGAACAAAGTTTCCGAGAGCCGATTTGTTCGAATGAATGAATACTATTTCGGTTGGCGACATGCAACCAAGGCCTAGGAGAAGGAAACGTTTCCAACAACCTGGATGAGACAATTTTGCTAACAGGTGGCTCCATATCATGCTCATCTCAATCGTGACCTGGTATGATTTGTCGCATCATTTGAAGGACTCTCCAAACTGCATAGCTCGTACTAACGATCGAGCAAATTCTTTTATTCACCACAATAAGATGCGAAACAGACGGAAAACGTAGTAAAAGGAGTGAAGACGATGCATTACTTGAAAGTTGATGTCCTTCAAGCGATCACTTTGAATGACAAAGTGCATGAGCCACTTGATTTGTTGTCCCGATGGTGACTGAATCAGGACATTTTTCTTTAATGTCTGCATAATTTCCAGCCGAGTTTTCCAATTGGTAGATTTTAACTGATCCAAATCCATGTTGTTCAGGTACCTATCAAAAAAAGTGTGAACAAGATTGTCAGTAAGTGAGAGTATGACTACAATCAGACATTGTTAGCTTGCTTTTGTTTTTTATTGTTACTTACGTGTCAACGAATGTGTGGGGTGCAAAGCAAAATAGTGAATTTATATTTCTGACGCGGAACATCTAGGTCATTGTGGGGATTTGGAAAACCACAAATAACAAATCGAGCGTGAAAAGTCAATGAAGGATTTAGGTGAAACAGTACCCGTACATATGTATGGAGAAACAGTCACATCGGTTACTGATCAATGCATAGAAGTGAAAAGAAGACCTTATGAAATGGGTTTGATCAAACTCATTTTGGTCCGAATTATGAAGGGAAACAAACACCGATAAGTGAGCGCAACCACGTTATATGATCACTTAATTATCAAGCATTCTGTTAAAGACGTGAGGCTGATGTGCGATTTCCACCGAATCAGGAGGAATCGTGTCTTCATTTGTGATTCCCACGAGCCGATCGACGAATAAAAACAAACGGGAGAAAAATACATGAATCAATCTTATGAATGCTGTGACACCACGAGCATGATAAGGCTAAAAGGTTGTATATGAAGAAGACGCGTTAGGGCTCCTTACTCAGATAAACGATCACACAAATCACCCCATGAGAGGACTTCATATGCATCACTGTTCAATGGACGACCACGTTTGGGAGCCGGTTTGGATATCTGCTTCCGGGTTCCGGGCACATTTATGCCACCACCCCCGGTAGATTTTGACGTCGTCTCTGATGCTTCCTGATTCCTTTCTGCAAGTGGTCGTCGAGATCGAGTTCCTAAACAAAAGGGTAACAGATTAGATGGTGTCACCGGAAACGCGGTGCAGGAAAATGCACACGAGAAAAAACCAACCTGAGGATGGCGGTTCGTCCGTAAGTTCGATTGGGATGCGATTCTTCTTAGACTTTTCCGTTCTTTTGCCCTTCTTCTTGGATTGCTGCGGTTCTAAATCATCGGTGAAATCCAACGAGGCCTGCACATCACGTTTTGAATTTGTGCACATTGTTTCGGCTTTACTCTTGAGCATATCATAAGCTACGTCTACTTTCAATCGGCGTTGGTCATCCAGTAAACCATCGGTGAAAGAAGCGAAGTTTGATGGCGACATGTCTAGGAATAGACGTGTAGCAGCAAACGCTTGAAAACTGGCGTCACGACATTCCGGTGTTCGATGCTGAGACAGTTTGGACAAGGTCGTGAGTAAAGGTTTTACAACGCGTACGCGTTGAGATGAGTTCAGTTCGGCCCCCTGTTTCGTGGATGGGTTGTGGAGAACCAGACAGTGAGCAAGCAGACCAGTTGCTTCAATTTGGGTCCCTGTGGCTGGACTACCGATGGCCGCCAGGATTGGTCGTAATGCAGTATCGAGGGAGACCTTTGTTCAAAACAGTTAACGGTGGCGCATTAGACATGATTTCACAAATATGTTCGTTTTACTGCGTGGACATGATGCAAGAAAAAGATTTCTATTGGAATCGGATAGGATTAAGTCGACATGCAGCTGCCCTAATGGCCAAAAAATACAAAAATGAGAGACATAAAGACTGCTAAACATAATAATAATAACTTCATTACATTGTGAAAATGAAAAAAGCATGTTCTGTCAGGTAAAAGCAAAAGTTCGTTAAACGGGCTTGCTACCTGAACATACAAACCCCTGGAAAATAGGTACCTAGGATGCAAGAACTATTAAGATCTAAGTGGGGAAATAACCACACAACGCACCACTGATTACTACTCTAATGAAGAAAACATTTAATTACGAACAGTTATCAGCAACTCATGACACTTTTCAGGGAACCGGCGTACATATCGAGAACTGCTTGATTCCAGAATAACCAGTCAGAATCAAGGACAACCCAACGCAATTGATTGATTCAAATCAAAACGACTGAAACTGATATCGATCCTGCTAACAAATTGTTAGGCATATACAGTTGTTTTTAGTTTTCAGTTTCATGGCACTCACATGTCCATCCCTTCACTCTTCTCATAAATAACCACGTTTTGCATGCAACAAACAAAATTCCTACACAATTTCAGCTGTGTTTCACTTCACAATCTGTGGAATTTTTGTCTGATAAACAGACGTTATTGAGATCCCAATTATTCGAGGATCTAGTATAGCGACAATCAGTTGTAACAACAGTAAACAGTAAACCATTCTATCCACAAAAATCGATTGGGTGAACAACAAGATGCAGAACAGTTTTAGACAAGATCAACTTGGTGCATTCCACTGGCCAAGGTTTTGGAGACTAATTCGACAAATGATAGCAATCAATGGAAACGTTTCGCGAGGGAGGAGTCTAATTAAAAACATTCGTCACGTCTGAAGAAATCCAAGTATTTATTTCACTATCAAAATCCGAGTTGACTCATCTATGAGAAATCTAAGCGTTACTGACTGAGTTCTTTCGCTTGATTCGCACAAGGTTAAGGCGATGTTACTGAAGTGTACAATTGCTAACACGTTTCGTGCATACATAGTTACTACTCATGAGTAGCCTAGGAAACTGGTGGAAACTCAGGTCACACAGAACTGGCAACCGCAGTAGTTGAAGGGATCGCACTCAATCTCCTGCTGAGTCACATCCGTGGAAGACCACATTTTCCAAACTATTCCCACTTCCAAAACCAAAACAACCGTACAGGTAATAACATATGTTATGACTAAGCAATTCCCCCATTGGTATGTCGCACTTCCTGGTGCTTTCTTACACAGTAGCCTACCGATGTGTAGCTTGACCATTTACTAACAAACATGTGCTGTCGCATTCAATCACTGAAGACTCACTGAGTTCAACGTATGCATGAACCTGTTCACTAATTGTATGATCCTCGTGAGGAACGCACATAGGTGTCAGCAATTCTAAACGACGCCACTGGACGTGACAATGTGCAAGCGCCTAATTATCAGTGAGAAAAATAATGTTACGGATGTTTAATTAGCCTGGTACAACTCATTTTTTGTGAAAGCAATTCGTGTTTCTGGAAAGACTGTTTACAATGACATATCTTAGAAAACGGTTATCAGAAATTTTTTCAACATTGGGACAATCATGAAAAATACCACTTCAAAACAGAAAAATCCAGGTGGTTGGTGAAGCAATTTTGGCAGGGTTCATCACTATGAAGAAAAGGTATGGTGCGTCTCCTGTGTTGGAGAGCATGGTTTGTCAGATGACAATCAACATAGCAAAATTGTATCATGATGACTTTAAGGCCCTAAAAGATTAATTTGGCTCGTGGTTAGACAAGTGTGGCATAAAATCCTGCAAAGTAAGAAACTTCTTAGGTTTGCAGTGTACGTTTGGTGGTAGCACGTGGTACAGTGGATACAAATAAGATGAATCTGAAACAACGAATAGAGTGTAAGTTGTATCAATCAGAGTTGCATGCTAGTTACCAGGTCAGTTTAAGCTGTTAGTCCCAACGAATGCGCGGATTTCGAGTCGATTATTAGAGAGTATGATTGGTCTACAGGGCGAAGTGGATTGACTTCCAACGGAGATCAAAGCTAAGAGAAACAGCGCCTTATGATGCTGCTACAGATCGTTTCAATTTACAGTTTTATTCAGAAAAACTGTGGGCTATTTAACTCTGCAACGACGAAGGAAACAGAGTCCACAATCAAAAGTTAATAAATATTTATTACCGGGTTGCGAGCAAGCTTGGTAACAACGCAACAAGAACAACAGAGCATGGAGGGTTGGGGAACAAAGTAAGATGGAAAAGGGGTGAGACAAGTAGAGTGCAGGAGAAAAATCTTTTTGTTTGCTTTATCGTACACCTTTGATTATTTTGGGTTTTAGTTGATTGTTTTTTATGGGGCACAGGATTTCAAAAGAGACTCTACAGCATTCATACTACTGGCTTCTATTCTGGGTTATATGTCACAGCGTCACTAATAAACGACAACCTTTAATCCTTGGATCACAACATGGAAGGGGGGCTGCACCAACCGAAGCCAAAGCTGAAACCAGCCTCTGCATACCTCTACGCCATGTTGTAATCTGACCACCGCAGCGCTTCTTCAAGCCTTGCCCAGCCTGTGCAAAAAGAGCAAGGAGAGGTAGACGATGGACAGGCATACGCAAAAGTGGTCAAACCATCGGAGGCGGTTTAGAGCGACTACT